AAATATATAACAATAGGATGTATTTATTTCTTCTTCCATTCCCACATTCTCAGGTTACAACCAACTGAGAACCTCTTGTAAGTAAAAAAAAAAAAAAAAAAAGAAAGACTTAATGAGGATGATGACCAGGGGAACAAGGCTAGGGTACACTGTGTTACGTTAATCAGCAAAAGCCTCCAAAATGAGGTTTGTGCTTGTAGGCTGTAGGTAATGCCATTACTGGGCATGAAAAATGCTTTATTGGGAGCTAGTCTTGGAGGAAGGGTTCTAAAAAAACAAACAAAAATTATTTGATTTTGTGGGAACTGAAAGGACTGCATGAATTTCCTCACAGGTAACCGCAACAAGGAGGTTTGCTTGAATTATACTTTAAAGGAAGAAATGGTACAGTTTAGTGCTCAGAGCCCCAGGAGGAATATTCGGGAACAATGGCTGCCTTCATAACTGAAAAAGGGGTGTTCACCCATCACTTAAAATAAAAATAGTTTTAATCCAGAATGAAGGGCACAAGCACTTACATTGGAAACATTTTGCTTTCACTGTAGTGAGTCTTAATAAAAGCCACAGGATACACTGTTGTGTATTTCAAAAAAAAAAAAAATGTAGCTGGGAGGGCCTCTGAACAATAGACGTGGAGAACTCTGATTCAAGAGTCCAGCAGGGGCCTGGGATAAAAGAGCTTACTCTGCCTAAGTGTGACAGTGGATGGAAGCCAGGGACTTTATCAGCTTGTGGCAATCTTTAGCACCCTCCTCCCGTGTGTGCCAAGTACACTTTCGTGGCAGACAGCAATTGTACAGCGTTCTCCTGAGCCAGCCGCCACTAGCGACTTCCTCTACAGGCACACCAGGCACCAGTCATTTTGCCAGATCCTCAATGATGATACTTTACGTTTTTTTATCAATTTGATTCCATGCATTTCCGTCATCTTTTCTGTGGGACTCAAAGCCCCAGCAAGGAGGTCTTGTGAGCTCCTCTAAGATTGGTGTGGTAACTGTAAACAATGGAGCCCAGAGTCACTATTTTCTGAACTTATAAATTTTGGCTCCAGCTGGCTTCTGTAGCCGAGGTTATCTTAAATTCTGAGGCAGCTCACATGAGGTTTGTATATGTCAGATGTTCCAGTTACGTTTACGTGGAATTATAGACTGTGAATTCTAACCTTGTGATAAGTCATTCTCTAGCATGCACTGTACACTTCAGCCACATTGAAGTTCTTACCATTTCCTAAACTTTTCAGACCTCTTGGATTTTGCATATGCCTTTTCCTTTATATGGGTTGTCTTTTTCTACGTGTCTGTAATGGCAAGATCCAATTTATTTTTAGGACTCAGTTTCTTCTATGATGCCTTCTGGAATTTTCTAGACTAACAGGCAAACTGTACTTCTTTTGTGACTCTGCTGTACTTTGTTCACATTACTAATGCAAAAGGATTAAAGCAGACATCAAAGATGGTTCCCAGTCTTCCTTGTCTTCAGTCCTCACCTCCTTTCCCTTTCCTTTTTGGGCACTTCTCCCACCTGTGAATCTTGACCAACTGACAAACTACGAGGCATGCAAAAATAACTTGTGAGTAATAATCTGACACTTATCAGGATGGGATGCCACCAATATGAAGGGTCTTCAAAAAGTTCATGGAAATGCATATTATGAAAAAAAATGCATGGATCCCCAATTTTTTTGAACCAAAACTCAATTTTTAACTCATTTTCCACAAACTTTCTGAAGTACTCACTTACATTTCTGAGGCAGAGGCATGAAAACTGGAACAGCCTCTGGCCAAAAGTCTCCCTGCAATTAACAACAAACTGTGGCCTGAGTCAAACCAGGAGGACATACACTGCTTTCTTCTCCTCACTTTATACAACTCCAACCCTACTTCAACTTGGGGAGTTCTCTGAAGTTCAAGTGTTCCCTGAATGGATCTGCTGAATAATGCTCTTAACCTCATTCTGAGTCATAAATTATTTCCGTTTGACAGTAATACAGCACTGGTTAAGTGGCAGAAGTGCCTTCAAACCAGGGTCTGTCTGGTTCTGGACCCCAGGTTTTCAATTACTGTGCCCTATCCATTGGATAAACGAACTATCATCTTGGACTGTTTGTGATGGTTTCATAGAATACCTTGTATTCTAAAACACTGCCTAAGAGTCTTTTGGGAAGTTACTCACTGAATTTCTTAGAACCATTATAACCCTTCAACCCAGTAATATTGTATGGTTATTTTTTTCATTTACTATTTTTTATAAAGAAAGAGTTTGTTTTTATCTACTTGAAAGGCAGAACAACTGAGAGAGAGAGAGAGATAGAGATGTAGAGGTATAGAGGTGTAGAGAGAGATCTTCAATCTACTGGTTCACTTCCCAAATGCCTACAACAGCCAGATCTAGGTCAGGCTGAAGCCAGGAGCCTGGAACTCCATCTGGATCTCCCATGTGGGTGGCAGGGGCCCAAGCACTTGATCCATCATCTGCTGCCTGCCAGGATGCACTGGCAGGCACTTGGATTGGCAGCAGAGGTGCTAGGACTTGAACTGGCACTCCAATATGGGATGTGTGCACTGCAAACTACAACCTAACCCACGGTACTTTGTCTGCCCCTTCATTCACTCTCTTTAAAATTTATTCATTCTACTGCTGCTTGGCTTTAGGATTATTTCCAGTTTGGAGCTACTTAAATAATGTTGCTATAGGCATTCTTATAAAACCTTTTGAGCACAAGGGCACATGTTTTTGTTGGACATACAGGCATGGAAGGCCATTAAGTGTGTATATGTTCTTTTTTAAGATGTATTAATTTATTTTGAAAGAGTTATAAAGAGAGGGGGAGAGACAGAGATCTTTCATCTGCTGGTTTACTCCCCAGATGACTGCAATAGCCAGTGCTGGGCCAGGTTGAACAGGAGCCAGGAGCTTCATCTGGGTCTCCCATGTGGGTGGTAAGGGCCCAAACACTTGGGCCATCTTGTGCTGCTTTTCCCAAGCCATTAGCTGGATCAGAAGGGGAGCAGCCAGGACATGAACCAGCATCCATAGGGAATGCCAGTGTCATAGGCAGTGGCTTTACCCACTTTGCCACAACACCAGCCCCTCATTTACTCTTTAAGGGTAAGTCTACGTGTGGCTCATTTTGTGATAATCCTATGGACTACTCTAGAAAACACTGGGCAAGACCAGGGAGTGGGAGATTCACTGTTCTGGTAAGATTAAACTTCTGTCCAGGGCAGGTATTAGCCTAGTGGTTAAGCCACTGGTTAGGATGTCTACATCCCACATCAGAGTGTCAGGGTTTTATATCAGGCTCCAACTCCTGATTCTAGCTTTCTGCTAATGCAGACCCTAGAAACAGCAGTGATGGCTCAAAGAAGTTGGGTCCCTGCCACCCACGTGGAAGACCTGGATCAAGTTCCTGGCTCCTAGATTCAGGCCCCCTCACACCCCACTCTTGCAGGCATTTGTAGAGTGAGGCAGTGGATGGGAGTTTTCTCTTTATTTGTTTCATTCTCTGTGGAAAACTTATGCCCAAGAGCTAGGAACCACCACCAGGCATTTATTACACATCACTTTTTCAGAATAATAAATAAGAGAATGGGGGCTGGCATTGTTGCATCATGGGTTAAGCTGTTGCTTGCAATGTCAGCATTCCATATCAGAGTGACAGTTCGAGTCTGGGCTGCTCAGCTTTTGATCTAGCTCCCTGCTAATGTGACTAGAAAAGCAGTGGAGGAAGGACTAAGTACTTGAGCCCCTGCCACCCACATGGGAGATGAGGATGGGAGTTCCTGGCTCCTGGCTTTGACCTGGCCCAGACCCAGCTGCTGCAGCCACTTGTGGAATGAACCTCAGGATAGAAGATCTCTTCCTCTTTCTGCCTCTCCTTCTCTCTCTGTCACTGCCTTTCAATACATTTTTAAAAATCATAAAGAGAATATAGATGGGATAAAACTAATGATAACTATTTTACATTGTATGTTATGATTTCAACATTTTTAATAAGTATATAAGCCTAAGGACTAAGAGAAAGAACACCAAAAATTAAAATAGATTTTTAGGGTGGTGAGAATGCAAGAATTTTTCTTCTGGGAAAAACAAATAATTATCTCATCCCCAAACTATATGCACAACTACTATAATAGTTTGAAAATAAATAAAAATGGAACTTATAGCAGAGCAATCATTCAAACTTTTATTACTGGTTATAAAGAAGAATTATGGTATTAACTGGTTGTCCTAAGCTATCTGTCAGAACTCAGCTTATTTAAAAATGGGGAATGGTATAGGGTTTCTTATTAAGTTAGCCTACACTATGAGGACAGCAAATCAATGCCTACTGCTCTTGTTATGTAGACAATTTTGTATTGTTACATAGCTACTTGGTGGCTTTTGATTAGAATACTGAAATACTAATGTGCCATTGCATATATGAGCCATGAGTGTTTTTTAAAGATTTACTTATTTATTTGAAAGGCAGAGTTACAGAGAAAGAGAAGAGAGGCAGAGAGAGAGACAGGTCTTCCATCCATTGATTAGTGAATGGCTGCAGCGGCCAGAGCTGGGCCAATCCAAAGCCAGGAGCAAGGAGCTTCTTCCAGATCTCCCATGTGGCTGCAGGGGACCAACCACTCGGGCCATCCTCCACTGCTTTCCCAGGCTGTAGCAGCGAGCTGGGTTGGAACTGGAGCAGCCGGGACACGAACTGGCCCCCCATAGCAGGTGGCAGCTTTACCCGCTTTGTCACAGCACCGGCCCCAGTGAGTGTTTTAACAAACTCAATATTCAGATCCTAACCAATGATCCGTGATCTCTTTCTGTCCTCACGTAGCTCACAATCTAGTTGTTTGAGCCAAAAGCAGTTAGAAATGCTAAAATGTGTCAAGGAAAATAGATGAAAGTGATATGCGTATTTACAGTACCCCTACTTGGCTTACCGATAGTTGGGTAATCACTTGCTGCAGGTTACGAATTATCTCTACATTTTCTCTCAATTCTTTGTCTTCCAGAGTCTCCACTAGCTTTTGAAGATCCAGCTTGCAGCTGAAAGTTCAAGCAAAAGGCCCCAAGGGTTAATCATGCTGCGGCAGCCAGATGATCCGTGATTATGTACTAAGGCGGTAGAGGTCACTAACAAATATCGGGTAGGACACTTACGCTGCATGCTGCCTGAGCTCTTCTAGCTTGGTGTTCATTTTTTCATTCGCTTGCTCTGTCTGCAACAAAGACCAGGAGATCGTCAGTGGCACTGCCTGACAGCCTCGCCTAATTATGCTCTCTTTCCCCTACTCGTATGGATTAAAACCTAGGTAGAAAGGCTGCCTCCTTTGCTGTAATAGAGGATTTAGTGGGCTTTGGTTATTTAGTGAGAAATGTGTTTTTTAACAGAGTCATGGAAATTAGCCCTTCAGTCAACATGAGCTACTAAAAATAGCATCCAAGCAGCTGGGTTTTATGCTTGCCTTCTAGCTCAGACTATGGGGTGGAGTGTGAAGTCTTAATTCCATAGAGAACTTTGCAACTGGGGGAAAAAGCAATACTTTCTGGCATGCTACTCCCGGCTGTTTGCAAAAAAAAAAAAAAAAAATCACTTTAAACTGCCTCCTACACTACACTGTTCCCCAGCCCCAGCATAAGGGCACTGAAAACATAAAAGGGCCTCACACTAAATTTGAGCTGAGATTTTTAAAAAGTTACACTATCTGATTTGGTAGGCTAGTTTTAGCCAAAGAAAGCAAGAAAAGGGGTAAGGCCCAAGAATGATGTTAGAGAAAAAAGAAACAGCAGAAGGCAGCTACGTTTTGGGAAGAGTGATTGATATTTTCAGTTTTATTTCAATCACAGTATCTGTAACATGCCGGATTGCAACAGATTTGGGAAGGTCAGTTTATATAGGACAAAAATGTTGTGCTTGTCATGAAGTTTTCACAGGATGTCAAACAATAAGCCTATCAGGCAGCCACTGTGGCACCCTTATAAAGGTCAGATGGGTATGTGGCTAGAATTACAAGTGCTGTATGTTATGTCAGCAATACTCATGTAAAACAGGGCTTCTATAGTACTTCAAAGGCATAAAATGAAGCACCGGAGACAGAAAACTGTATATAAAATTCCTCTCAATCCCAGTTTCACTATTCTGCTAGGAATGGACAACACAGTGGATATAAGATTTGACTTCTTTTAAAGAAATCTTTCAGCAGCTTCCTTTCTTTGACTAGAGAGCACACTGCTTAATGCAGGTGTATGTGTTAGAGAGGTTCAATTACATTTTGGTGAAAACTCATTTTCATTCCTGGCAATAGTTGTGCTACCAAAGACTGAGTTGCATTTAGACTAGTAGAAAAATGCTAGTGACAGAGACAGCCCACATGGCTTCAGGAGGTTAGCTATCATCAGATAGACAGGTAGCAAGATTCAGAACTGGTGTAATCAGTTACATAGTGATCCACTATTGGGAATTTAACTTATGGAAAATGAATTAAAATTAATTTCCCAGCTGTTGTATTCCACCATGGCAGCTGTTCAGAGGGAATATGAAATGTGACAACATCAGGGAAAGGGAAATAGAGAATTAAAATAAGGGATCGGTTACGTGGGACAGGTTAAGTATCACTTAGCTGAAATATTGAATCAAATAATGTATTTTGGATCTCAGATTTTTTTTTTGGAATGCTCATATTTGTATACATGAGATGTCTTAGGGATGGGACCCAAGTCTAAACACAAAATGCATTCAATGTTTCACATACACCTCATACAACATACCCTGGAAGTAAATTCAGATATGTTTAATGCCCCTGTATTTTTACTGTAATCTGTCACACGAGGTCACATGTGGAACTTTCCATTTGTGGCACTGTATTGGCATTCAAAAAGTTTCATATTTGTGAGCATTTTGAATTTCAGATTTTCAGATTAGGGATGTTCAACCTGTATTATGGATAAGGACTAGGCAGAACTTAAGGTAAAAGGGACTTAATTCTTTCCTTCCTGGTATTTTAGAACAAATCTCCTTTAAAATGGGATTCATACAGATTCTTGGTGGCAGATATACAGGTATTCATCGTACAATTCTTATAACTTTTCTGTATGTTTGATGACAAGTTCATGTGTTTATCAAGGGCTCTCCGCAGGATATGGTGATACAAACACTTTTCTTTCCACATAACTCATCTCTCACAATGAGAAGCAATTTAAATATTTTGGAAAATAAAGTTACTAAATATGCAGACTGCTGGTAGTTTCATCTTGGGGCCTCACCAAAATGATCCTCTCCAACATCTGAGCTGTCTGACCAGCTGCCTCACTCAGCCCACGACTTAATTTTTCATTCTCCTCTGCCAGGGACTGATTCTTCTCCATCAGGGATTGTAGATTCTCTGATGGTTCCACACTAAAACAAAGAAGGTAATGGATTAGAAAAATATCTGATTGATAATGCCTATATTAGAGGTGGACAAGAACATAGCCCACGGGACCTATAGGTGGTGGTTGGGTTCAATTCACCTCACCAAAGTCTGGGGAAAGTGTACTTAAGCTTACCCCTGAAGTACTTCAATGGTTTCAGGAAGGTAAAAATTCAGAATCAGATATCATTTTAACAGGAAATTTAAAAAAAAAAAGATATATTTATTTGAAAGGCAGAGTGACAGAAAGGAAGGGAGAGTCCAAAGCCAGGAACTCAGAACTCCATCCAGGTCTGCCACATGGGTGGCATGGACCCAAGCACTCGAGCCATCATCTGCTGCTTTCCCAGTCTTATCAGCAGGAAGCTGGGTCAGAAACAGGAGCCAGGACTCAAACTGGCACTCCAACATGGGATGCAGGCATACCAACTGGCAGCCTAATGTGCTGTGCCACAAAGTCTGCCCCACCAGGAATGATTAACCTTTAGCTTGGCTCTTGGTTTAAGGTCATGTAAGTAAGAAGGGAAGTCTAAATGTAGCTAAAATGTATGTTCTGTGGCTCTTTGTCTCACCTTCAATCCCTCAAAGACTAGAGAAGTAGGGAAGGAAGATGTGTGGAGGAGGCAAAAGGGACCCTGCTCAGGGTCAAAGTTTAGCCTGATCAATACAAGTGGATTATCCATTTACTGTAAAGTTAGGAAAATAGCATTTAAAAAGTCAGAAAGCCGAAATGATGATCTGTGGCCACTAAGAACACATCTCATACTTCTTTATAAATAAGTGCTCCTGTCTAAATTCAAGCTTAGCTTGGAACTGATGAACCCGTGGCCTCCTGATTTCAAATTGCTTCAAATGGTTGGTAGCATCAATGGCATCCATTTCGAATATGAGTAAAAAGGAGAGACAGCAATAGCTTGAAGGGATACATACATATAAATAAGAACCTTTGGAACATAAGCACATTACTTGATTACATCAGCTCTCGACTAATGAAGTGGATCAATAAAAAGCACAGCTTTTCTTTTTCTAATCCATTGGGATAAAATGTTCAGAAGACTAGAAAATCAGACTGGTTAAAAAAAAAAAGATCAGAAGAAATATGAAGATTTGATCTGAAGAAGACTCCAGGGAAAAATGAGTACTTGTCAAGGCTGTGATAAAGAGGAAAAAAAAGGACAGGGAGCAGCTGTTCTCAATCTCAATAAAGGAGAGAAAAGGATGTCAGGAACCCACTGAATGCCCTCTCACCCAGCTTAAGGCCTCCATCAATTTGTATAGAAATTCTTAGCCTGCCTTTTATCAAAAAGTTAATGGTAAGGTCACATAATAAGACCTCATATTACACTATTAAGACTCTTATGAAGGAATGTTCAATTAAATATGTGGCTTTTAAAAATAAATTGTTAATAAATTTAGTGTTATCTCTGATTGCTGTTTCCTTTTATACTTATTAAACTGAAAACTTTCATGTGTTAGTCATGTAAGTCAGCAAGCTTCAATGTAATGATAATTTTAATTTAACAGTTTTTTCCTCTGAAAAATTTTCAAGGTTTCTCTAAATGAAGGAATCATATTTAAGTCAACTGTTGATTTCCAAGGAAAATTCAGCACTTAGAAGTAGGCTCTTCACTGAAATTTGAGGCTAACACTTGAATATTTAAATATCACAGGGATGAGCAATTAGCCTAGTGGCTAAGATGTCCATGTCCCATATCAGAGTAACTGGGTTCAATACCCAACTGGGGTCCTGATTCCAACTTCCTGCTAACATAGACTCTGGTAGTTGGTCATGATGGCTCAAGTTATTTGGTCCCTGTGACTCAAGCTAGAGACTTGGAGCACATTTCTAGATCCTGGGACAGGCTTTTTGGAGAGTGGACCTGTGGATGAGAGCTCTGTTTTTCTTTCTTTGTCTCTCAAGATAAATAAAGCTTATATACTACTACAATTAATAACAACAGCTAATATTGTTTTAAAAAACATGTTTGGGGGCCGGTGCTGTGGCATAGCAGGTAAAGCTGCTGCCTGCAATGCTGGCATCCCATATGGGCACCAGTTCAAGACCCAGCTGCTTCACTTCCGATCCAGCTCTCTGCTATGGCCTGGGAAAGCAGCAGAGGATAGCTCAAGTCCTTGGGTCCCTGCACCTGCATGGGAGACCCAGAAGAAGCTCTTGGCTTTGGATTGACCCAGCTCTGGCCATTTAGGGAGTGAACCAGTAGAAGGAAGACCTCTCTCTCTTTCTGCATGTGCCCTTTGCCTCTCCCTCTCAAATAAAATAAATAAATAAATCTATAAAACAAACAAACAACATGTTTGTGTTTTCGTTTTTTTTTTTGAAAGGCAGAGCTACAGAGCGAGCAAGCAAACAATCTTCTATCTACTGGTGTCGCTCCCCCTCTTCGTGGAGGAACGACACAGGACCCCGCGCTATTCTTTTGTCTGCTCGGCCCTCCCCGGGTTTGCTGCTGGTTCTTCCCGGGTTGGCTACTGTCCCTTCCACCTCCGTGGAAGGGCGGTTCCCCCTAGCCACTTTCCCCACTTCCGCGGGGGAGCGGCACACCGCCGGCCGGCTCTCTCGGGGGCTGCACAGGTGTTCCTTCAGATAGATGTTCCTGGTGCAAGTTGTCTCTCTCCTTTATAGTCCTCTTCCGCCAATCCCAACTCGGCTGCCCACACGCTGAGTATGCTGCTCTCCTCCAATCAGGAGCAAGATCAGCTCCTGGAGGTCATCACTC